GTTAACTTCAACAATACGTCTCTCTCTGACTGCAGTTCAATTACTCATTACCTACACACACATTATTGTCACCCTCTTTTATATACCAGACTACCCTATATCTAGTAATCTCTCGACAGTTCCCGAAGGTTCGAGAGAACGAGTCACGTGACCTCGCTGACGCAACAATATGATATAATTACTGTTATTACGTAATACAACAATTGTAGTTCAAAACACTGGTTATGTTTAAACACATCCTAATTCTAGAGCTGTTCACTTTAAAAATATAATCAAACTTGTTTTGTTGCCTCTGTAGCAAAACCGCCCACGTCTCTAAAAGGACAAGTCATCACTGTTGAATTGCAGAAAGATAAAACAGGAGTAGGCTTTAGCTTAGATGGAGGAAAAGACTCACCTGTAGGAGACCGTCCTCTAACGATCAAAAAACTATTTAAAGGTAACTGTATAATTACTCACCAACTTTACACATCCACATCTGAGTCCAGTTGAAAAGTATTTAGTTTACATTCTTTTTGATACCTTATAAACATTAACAAACGCAAATACTGTAAAAAAAGATCTATCAAAATCAGCAAACATCAGACGAAGAAGTTAAAACATCTTTAATATAATTCTTTTTGATTGATTTTCCTCTCTAATAATGTTATGTTTGCTTTCTCATGAATACTTTCTATAGTTCAGTTTTTGTTATTTTTTAAACCGGTGAACGTGTTTAAATGTGAAGTCCTCTTTTTGTTTTTACCCTCAACTTTACATAATTTCTACGCGAAAAAAGGCTGTAAATAAAAATAACTGATGCGTTAAATAAAACATATTTACAGTGCCACAAACTATTTCTTATTACGTTTATTTATTATTATTATCTTACTTTCGGATTGCACTATTTTTTAGGTTTTGTGCTGTTTTTATGGAAGTTTTGGTAACATTAAAATATTTTTATTTATATTATTACACTCTTAAAATATCAAATTGCACGCATATGAATATTCTTAGTTTTTACTAATGCTAGTTATAGAACTGGGAGAAATTATTTTCTTTCTTTTTTTCATTTAATTAATAAGGTGGCGATGCTGAGAGAGTAGGCCTGTTGAAAGCTGGTGACGAGATTGTCTCCATGAACAACCAGCCAGTAAACAACATGACTAGGACTGAAGCCTGGAATTTCATGAAAAAGTTGCCAGAAGGACAAGTTTCTATAACTGTAAAACAGTGTAGTTGAAGAAATAACAGTATAATTAAAAAGGCTATGAGACGAACAGTTTTCTATAAGTGTAGATCAGTGTTGATGACGTTATCAGGTGCACGCTTCCCTACTTATATTGTTAAAGCAGTCGAGTTGCATAACTGTGATACACAAACTTAGAATGACTTTTTTGTTTCTTTTATTTTACGTGTGAATCAACTATGTTGCATTGTTGACTATATACAGAGAAAGTCGGAAAAGCCAACTTTTTGTAATGGGTGGTAAACTAATCCCTCAATTCTGTGGTGTGGCTATAAATCTTCAAATCTCGTGTGACCTTACAGTTTTGACCATTCTAGAGATAACAGAAATTATGCGAACAACATTTTCTTTGGTTGTTATAAAGCCAAGAAATTAATACATGTTTTAGAAGCACTGTTATGGACGGTAACTATACTGATGGGAGTGTAAAAGTGTTTCTTAGTTATGTGATTGTATTTTCTTAACACTTTACAAATGAAAAATATGGAAGGCGTGTTTGTACTTCTGCGTGAAAAAAAAAGTTATTACCGTGATAGGCTATGTAAACAGTACGCATGCGTGAATGGCTTTTTGTTGAAAGATGGTGGCTTATAAGGCCATAGGAAAAAACTTACTATTTATAAATAGGCTTTATTGTTATAATAATGTGGTTTAGTTTTGAAGGTCTTCATGGTATAATAAACATAAAGTGGTACCATGTTGGATATGATTGTACAGGAAAGGTCTAAGGCCTCAGTAAGTATTTTGTGCCATTAACAATATGTTACTGATTTAATGAACCCAAGTTTTAAGGGTTACGTGTTTTATACCACTACTGGATTTGTAGGTTCTAAACTCTACGAATGAAATGTTAAAATTTGTGTTCTGTAGTACTGTATTACGATATTGTATTTACGATATTTTAAAAATCTCATTAATTAAATACTTAGTTCGTTATATTTAAGTGAGGCATAATTAAACCTGGATAACTGCTAAGCAGTAATAAAACAAAAGCGTTGGTGCTTGTTAATTGTATATGTATGTATAATAAGAACTGTTAGGCCTCATCCCAAAAATGTTAATACAAGCTACTAACTTATGGACGTTATTTGCCAGAAAAGAAACATTAACTTATTTCAAAACATTGAGATCTTTTTGTACGGTAGGAAAAAAAAATTGACGTAATAATATAAGTTGTGTAACAGAAATATAAATTTTAATGGAATAAAATAAAAAGTTATTAAAATTTCATGATAAAGAGGAAAAATATCGTCATGCTAAAAAAGTAAAAATGAGATCCAGGCTTTTTTTGCATTAAATTTGAAAGTAAATTATTTTTACATATTTTGATGTTTGTTGTAGTTATATAAAAATGTATGATGTCCGAAATTGTTTCAGTTGTATACGTTTTAATTGTATTACATTCGTACACTCAAAGTTACAACTTCTAAAATATAATTTCAAAGTATGTTAAGAAACTGCTGAATTAGTTAGTGACTTTAAAACTCGAGATATTTGTGTTGATGCGGTTTGATATAACATTTCTAAAACTGTCCATAGATGTCGCTGTTCTCACATTTTTAACTCTACGTTCTACTAAGCGACAAGTGATGTTTATACACGCTGATTCATGAAGTTATCTTTATTTTGTTTTGTCGTAGTAGCTTTTCGTTTACTTTATATATCAAATAAAGAACCAAGAAACCTGCAGTTTTAAGGGATTTTTATGTTATTTTTTCGGTTATTTTGAGCGAATATTTTATTTTTGGCCTCATTTTCAACTGCTTTTTAGAAGGGCATGGTGCTGTGATATATATATATGTGTGTGTGCGTGTGTTTCAAAACACAGAAATGTGTGTAAAACTAACGAGTAATATTGATTTCGACGTAAAGGGTGATGTTAGTAAGACTAGTATCGATATAAAAAGTATAAACAAAAGCACATAAGACGCTCGTCTTATGGATTATGTATATACAGTTTCATCATTAATAACACACAGTACATGTAATAGTTCTTTAAGTGTTCACCGGTGTTTGCCATTGGTGGTGGAAGGGTAGCTCAGATACCAACACTCAGCTATTTCACTTGATTTAAAAGTGCACGTCAGTAAATTTCAGTTGAAGTATCCAGTTAATGACTTTCTTTGTACTTCGTGTTGGCCTGTTTATATGTTTTATATTTTTCAGATCTTGAAATGTAAATTTGTAATTGGTTTAAACATAGAAGCCTCCTTGCTGGGGCTTAATGTTTACGCCGAAGCCATGGAAGTTAAATAAATTCATTTCTATGCAGAAAAATTGCAAGAATCAGTCATTTTAAAATACATGTTACCATATACACATATATATTAGATGCTTTCTCTTACCAGTCTTTACATATTTGATTCCTCAGTTTTTCATGTCTGTTCATTTAGTGTTACTTTCTATCTTCATTCATCTATTGTAAGAAGATAAAAAATAAGTAAAATTACCTCAACAGAGAGAGAATAATTACTGAATTATCCTTCCACGAGTGAGTAATATTTACTAAATAATTACACGTGTTCCTCACTAAATACCCCAGTCTAATTTATTCAGTGATTTTTTTTATCATTTTGAAGAGCTACATTACAAATAAAAGTTATTGGAACACCTAAGTAAGCCAAGTTTGATAATGTAAATCTTTCATTCACCTATATCGTAAAATCGAACAAATCGTGTATTAAAAGGACAGCATACCTAGCCTTGTATCTCCGCGAGGTTTTCAGTCATTTGCGGGAAGAGGGAGGATGTTATCCAGGTCAAGGCGATTTCTGGAAGTTGCAGGAGACTTGAGCTGTCTACGTTAGACCATTCCAATTCATAATATTTCACTTCGGTGTGGAGCGTGGATAATAAGAAAAGTCTAAACAAAGTTTTGCTTAAAACAAGATTGTTTGTAAAGCCCTGAGGTGTCCTCGACTGCTCTTTTGAAAGAGTTGTTTCCATGGCATCTTTAGTGTCTGACATTATGTCAATATTCCCATATGGTTCGCCACCGCCATCTACATTGCATTTTTATCTACAAATGGGGTTGAATCTGGTTCCAGATTCCCAATAACGAAAGATATGTCTGTTATCTCTAGATAACAGACATATCTTTATCCTGCAGCCAGATAACAGACATATCTTTATCCTGCAGCCTATATTTATCCTGCAGCCAGATAACAGACATATCTTTATCCTGCAGCCAGATAACAGACATATCTTTATCCTGCAGCCAGATAACAGACATATCTTTATCCTGCAGCTTTGTCTGTTATCTGGCTGCAGGATAAAGATATGTCTGTTATCTAGCTGCAGGATAAAGCACAATTCACCTGTAAAAACCAATAACTAAAGATATGTCTATTATCTGGCTGCAGGATAAAGATATGTCTGTTATCTAGCTGCAGGATAAAG